GCCGGAGTTAAACCACGACACTGCCTTTTGGTTTTCTTCTCCCCAGCATAAAGCAGCTTGACCGGTACGGTCAGCTCACCCTCGCTAACTCCACTGCAGCGGACACTGGAGAATATAGCTGCTGGCTTCAGCTGTGCGGTGGGAACAAGTGCAGGAAGGATGAGACTAAAACGGGTTCAACGTACATCTTCTTCACAGGTAATTAACCCACTGGGGGATGATTAGTGGGAATGTATTTGCTAGTAAGACAGGAATAAAGCTGCATCAGCGATTTCTTTGTGGAGATTTTCTGTTTTTTTTTTTTTTTGTGGATGTTAGGGAATACAGTGCTGGTGAGCAGAAAATTACTTGTTTGGTGTGATTTATGAATCCATTTTCCCTATTGATTATGCTAAGTATATACCCAAAATAATGCATAATGCAATGGAAAGCAAATGCCTTTGAAAATACTGAGACATATTCTGAGGATCTTCTACACAAAGAATAATAATAAAAAAAAAAGGTTTAACTTAAAAATGTGTCTGGATAAAGAAAACAAATCTGTGTAGAAGATTCATCATGTCATGGCATTCGGATGACCACTTGGACTCTTCCCACCCCTTCCAGCTTCCTACCTGCACTGACTTAAAAATCTTGACCTCATTGATCTTGGCAAGGCCATAGTTTCTCCCAAGAGTCCACGTGGCATGTTGAGAGGCCAAACACTCCTCAGGACCTGTGTTGTCCCACAGAGCCTGGGGGTGACCCTAGCCTTAACACTGCATAGATGGGGTCATGGTAGGTAACCCTGCACAGTTACGGCTGCAACAGAGCTGAAATCAAATGCTTAATTAGCTCTTTAAACAGATTCTGAATGGCAAAACCACCTTTGCTGCCTGGTTAGAGCTGAAATAACCTTGGCTAGAAAATATTTCCATACAAAATGCTAAGATGGGATTGAGTATGATATGTTTTGGAGCGAACTCAGTCCATGAGACTGTGCAGCAGCCATTTATCAGAAGTGATTAATGTTCTGAGGATACATTCCTTCAGAAAGGCCAGCATAAACTTTTCAGTCGAGTTGTTATGTAAATGCTCGTGCTGGAAAGAGGAATCTCAGCTTTGTGTTTCTAAGCAGCATGCCAAATATGCCAAAAATTGTATGTAGAGAAAGACACTGGCTCCAAAGAATCTCTCTCTCTCTAGCTGTGCTTCTCTTACCCATGGTGGGGTGTGTTACACTCTAAAAGCGGGCGAGTGAACAGAATCGGATCGAGATGAGTATTTGGAAACTTATTAAAAAGGAATTCTAAAGATTTTCTTAGGATTAAAAAAATCTGATTACAGTGAAGAATACTTTTGTTTTTCGTTTTGATGTTTTTCATGCAAGGGTGAGTGAGCATGTACTCGCAGATTAGAAAAGGTGGGGTGTTTTTCTCATGTGGGAGCGTATTTAAAGCAGAAGGCTTTGGGTTAGTTTTTAACGTTGCTCGTAGCTATCTCCTCTTGTCAAACACAGTTGCTGCTAAACCGAGATGTAGGTGTTATTCTAACTGTATCAACTCTTCTGCACAGATAAAGAAGAACTTTTTGTACCTACTCCCAGTTACTTTGAGATTGTCTACCTGAGCCCAGAGAAACCTGCAGTCATCCCATGCCGTGTTACTACTCCTTCAGCAAAAGTAACTTTACACAGGGAATTTCCAGCAGAAGAAATTGAAACAGATGGAACGGATATTATTTATGATGTGAAGAAGGGGTTTGTCTACCAGCACCCGAGTTCGGATCATAAAGGTGTTGTCTACTGCAAGGCAGAGTCACAAGGAGCACCAGATCAGATCTCCATCAAGTATCACCTCCTGTACGTGGAAGGTAAGGTGCAGTTTTCCATGTTCTTATACAGACTCTTGTTTCTTCTGCTGATGTTGCTTATAAAAAAAAAAAAAAATTAAAGTAAAATAAGCAATGTAATCAGAGTTTTAAAATATTGATGAAAAGTATATGATAAAACTTGGAGGTTTGAATTCCAGCAGTTTCCCAGTGGAGAGGGGAAAGTTGCAGGTGTACATCACTTACTGCTGCGTTAAGCAAACTGAGACAAAAACCGACTCAAGTTTTATCGGTTTATTTAACTTAAGAAACTAATTTTCTGCCCCCTAACACTGTCTTTGTCAGTTCCCAAGGGCCCGCCCTCAGCCACAATTGCAGCATCATCCGGCAGAGCAGAAGTGGGTGACAGCGTTCATGTCGTCTGCACAGTCCTCGGGGAGCCAGAGGTAGATGTGAGCTTCAGGTGGCAGTACCCAGGGCAAGAGGTAAGAGATGCACACCCTGGCCGAAGGGCCTTGTGCTTCGCGAAGGCAACGCTCTGAAGGCCCGTCAGTGTTGAGTTGGAGTCTGGATCCTTTCAGGCCGTGCCTGCCTCTTGCTGGCTCAGGCACGCTGACGGGAGGAGGCAGCCACAGCCCTTTTGAACTTCAGCCCACCTTTCCCCAGCAGCCTAGGAGTAGCACAGGAACGAAGCTGGAGGGCTCTAACCACGTTTGTGAAAACCAAGCTCAGCCACGCTCGCTCCTCCCTCAGGTTTCCATCCCAGAGACACTTGGCCTCTGGCAGAGGTCACGGAGAAAAGCAAAGCCAGCCAGTGTCAGAGCCCCCAAAGCCTGGCCCGTGCCTCTGCGTTTGATATCCCTTCCATCGCCATGGCTCAGGCACGTGAATCGTTGCAGCGCAGAATCTTTAAGCTTGATTGTTGCCCGCATCCAGAAGCACAGAGATCTGCTTCTGCCCAGCTCACCTGGGAGAATCTACTGGAAACTTAGAACTTTGGTTCTTTTTCTTGCACAAAATAAGGTGTATCTATCTGACTCGTGCCTCTGCGTTTGATATCCCTTCCATCGCCATGGCTCAGGCACGTGAATCGTTGCAGCGCAGAATCTTTAAGCTTGATTGTTGCCCGCATCCAGAAGCACAGAGATCTGCTTCTGCCCAGCTCACCTGGGAGAATCTACTGGAAACTTAGAACTTTGGTTCTTTTTCTTGCACAAAATAAGGTGTATCTATCTGACTAGCAGCACTGATGGGCCCCTCGTGTCTCCTTCTACCTACCCAGACCAGCTGCAGCAGGGACTTGTTTCGCTACTGCTGCTTAGCCTGAGCAAAGGCAGGACCACTGGAAGATGGAACCCTTCACCAGAGGGAAGGGATTCTCTAGGACATTCTGTTGCATTGCCAGCCCTCCTGGTGCTGGGCTGTCCAAGGACGATGCAGAGCTTGCTAATGAGGTACTGCAGCAGCACTGGTCTCCCAAAGCCAGCACAGAATTAAGTCATTTAAGGGCAGAGGTAATTGCTTACATGAGTGACTCCAGTTCGGTGGTTACTGGGCTTGAGAAAACTTAAGATCTGAAGGCCCAGATGTGTGCTGTAGCCACTTAGATAGAGGCTGTAGCATTTCGCTGTTACAGGACAGCGTGTGCCTTTTCAGGGGAAAAACAGCGAGGGAGCAAGTGAGCAGATGGAACTTGAACTGCTGGTGAGGGCACTGGGCATGTTGAAGCAGGTTTCTAGCCTCTGCTTAAATCTTAGTTTGTTCTTTCACCTCCCCCTTGCCCCTCCACCTTTTTTTGTCTTGCTGCTGAGACTAGTGAAGTCTGAGAGTTGGTGAGCACTTACAACTTCATGCTGCAGAGGAAGAAAGGTGGGGGTGGAGGGAGGAGAGAGAGAGGAGCATCGGTGGTGGTGGTCACATACACCACCTTTTGTGCAAGACAAAGGACTGAGAGAGGTCAATGCTCTGGGTGTTTCTGTTCATAGCTGCAGGAAGATCAGGGAGAGTGTGTGTTCCCTACCACTGCCCCACCCCACGCCCAGGCTGCACCCTGTGACTTGATCCTGGAGCAGAGGCAGCACTTCAATCCCCGCTAGGCACAGTGCATTGCAGAGACCCTCAGCTCAGCACTCACTCACCTCTCCCTCTTACTTTTTTTTCACTCAGTAGTCTTTTTTTTTTTTTTTTCTCCTTTGCCACTCCCTGGCAATTGCATCTGCTTACTCACCGGCTGTGAATGCATACTGATCTGCTCCATAAGATTCCCTGAAACTAGCTTCAAAGCAGGAGGCAATTAGTAGTTTGAGGAAAAGCCGGGCTAACAGGAGCCCAACCTGGCAAACGGCATCTGCCTTGTGTGGCCTTCACCTTCCTGTTCAGTAGGATCAGGGAAGTTTTACTTGCTGTATGTAAGAACTGAGGCTTGAATGAAGTCTGTGGCAGTACTTGACTGTGGGTGGTGCTTGATTTTCAGGTGGGGAACAGGAGGTGGTGGCTCTGCAAAGGGGCTTGATTCCTTCTAAAGGATTGAGACCTTCCAGATTAATTTACCAGTTTTTCCAAAACTCTCTTGCTAGCTGTTAATGCTTGCCCCTTCACGGTACAACCTCTCACCAGTTGTATCCAGGTTACTGGTGTAGTTCAAGCCAACCTGATTAAAGCTGCTGGCTAGCATGATGGATTTTGGAAGGAAAGAGGCTGCCTTAGGCTTTCTGCAGCCCAGTTTCCCTTGTCTGGTCTTTTGCAAACGGCTGAGGTGCCAGGGAACGTGACCAGATAAACAGCCCATCAGTGAATTCTCTTACAGAAGAGGCAAACAAGGATGCTTAGCAAGATGCTTTTTAGGTTCTGATGTTCTTAAACAGGTTTATTATTTTTCCCTTTGATGCTGCATATGTGTTTTGGAAAGCATGACGTGAGGATCAATTTAGCAGCGTTTGAACTGTGACTGTTGCTCCTCTGTTATCTGATGGTGTGTTTCTGAAACCAGAGGAGGAGGAAGTAGTTTGCAACACACGATGTAAAGCTATGCTCTGTGCTGAGAGAGAACTAGGGTATAGCTTGGTCAACTGCCTCGCGCTGCTGCCCCCTTTCTCTTTGGAGATGTGCCGAAAGCCTGCACATCTATCCCGATGTCTCCCTTGAGGCACCTCACCTGTTGGATCAGAGTACCCCAATACGACCTTAGTAAGTGCCCTGCAGCAGAGCTCCCCCGCGTAGCGCAGGCGGTGCTTCGGCAGCTGATTGCAAAGCTGACTCCATCCCGTACTGGCACTGAGGGTGGAACAGCCACTGTGTTATCCTGATTTGGTGTATGTCTGCCAGACCCTTCCAGTTCCCCTGCTTAAGGCTGGCTTTTGGTGTAGGCTCCTGCTGGCTGAGCCCTTCCTTCAGGGTTTGATAGGGCAGTGTCACTAAAAACACCTTGCAAGATCGAGTTACTCTCTCATGCAGGTGTGTGGTTTTTTTCCTTTTAAACAGTCTGAGAGGCCTGTGATTATCCAAAACTTCTGGAGATTGATAAACAGAGGAACTGGGCATACCACAAGAATCTCGAAGAGCGTTGTTCTTGTTGAGGATTTTGAAGCCAGAGATGCTGGAAACTACATTTGCATAGCTCAGAACTTACAAGGAGAGACAACAGTAGCTACTGAGGTCAAACTAAATTGATCGGAAAGGCTTCGGGACATCAAACAAAAACCGTATGTTATTCAGCATTTATTTTCCGTATTAACGTTTAAATGAAGTTTTCTCTATCGCTGTCTTGTCATGTATCCCTGCATTCCACATTCGCTAGCTTGACGGGCCCAGAGTTCCCTGTGCCCAGCCGCGGTGAGTTGCTAGGATGAAGGCTTATTACGTGTAGGGCCTTTGCAGATGGACTCTCTCCTCAGCCACCGGCATGAGGGTAACCAGCCGTGTGGGTGGTGCCACCCCGCTCTGTGTGAGAGCCGAGAGGGTATGAGATGCCCTCACATGCACCAAGTGGGTGCTGTGCAGTTTGAGAGGACTGTATGTGACTAAAACAACACAAAACCAAACAAAAATAACTTGTTACAGAATTAGTCAATAGCAAATGTTTATTTTGCAAGAATAATTAAATTTGAGTATCATGAAAACGTAAATGTGTATCTGTATGTGTATATGGGTGTTCATGTATGTATAAACACACAAAAATCCCGCTCCTGGGGAAGATAATCCTACGTGCATACTCAGGTGCTAGAGGGTATCTCCAGAGACGTGGAAGTGGTCAGAAATGTTAGAAAGCAACAAGAGAAGGAAACCTCAACCACCTTTAAGCAAAGTGTGTATTAGGGTTTACTCCTCAACAGATGTGTGATGTTAGGGTTACTGAATTATCCAGCAAATCATGTTTGCTAAAGGTGAAACCTGCATTTCTTTACGTAATCCCATGCACAGGGGGAAAGCCGCGAATGTAACACAAGTCTAATGTTCGACTCTACAGCTACGGCAGAACCTGTGCGCAGGGTAGGAACAAGTTCAACTCGCTGGTATTAATTTATTGTGGACAGAAGGAAAGCTGTTTCACTTGCATAGAACTATGACTGGGTAAACAAGCCACTGCTGCTCTCACCCCGGGTTTAGTGACCAGTACGAGGCAAGAGCCTTGCCAGGGAGAAGGTAAGAACTTGGGAACAAAGTTGTTGGACGCTTTGGCAATGTGTGTTCTTCCTGGCCTCCAGCACAGAATCCACATTCAGCCAGAGCTTCCAATAGAGATCCGCTCCACAGTGTAACTGTCTGACAAGAAAGGTCAGTGCAAGCCCTTTTATTTACGAGGTCTCTGGAAAACCAGCCTCTGCGAGCACGCAGGGAACCCACTGGGAACTGGGCCCTTGCTTGTGCAACTCGGTGTCTCAGCCTGCATTTGGCTGGAACTCCCAGAGGTCGCTTCTGGAGCAAGCCCTTTGCTCCAGCCAGTGCAAACCAGTACAGCATGGTTTGGGGTAGTGGTGTCGGGGAGCACTTATGTAAAAATGGCAGCTGCTAAATAACGTAATTAATTACTAATGACATTAGTAGCTGATGTCCTTAACTGTTAATCAAGTAGTACAGATAACAAAACCGTTGAACAAACCTGCTGAAAGGTTTTTCTTATTCATCCAGGAACCTAAAATATATGAGAAATATCTGGGGTAAAGCCTGAAATGCTTCTAAGCCAGTCTCACAAACTGGGCTTCCCGGAGAATGCTCCCCAGGCCTGTAATGTTGTTGGCCACAGAAAACAAGGGAGCTACAGCAACCACCCCGTTAAATCCAGCAAGCCATGCATCAGCTTTGAAGGGGCAAGAGGCACAGTCCCTTGTTAATTTTCTTTCTGTTGCTATTAAAAGGTATCGGGAAGATCAGACTGTTGCCCAAATGACTAAATAGCTTCAAGTATTACACCATTTCACAGTAAAAATAGACCATTGTACCTGTTTTTTAGGTGAGACTTCAATCTGACCAGAATACCTCCAGCTCTGGCTGGGGCAGGGCAGTGTTTGTTCCGTCACAGCATTTCCGTTGGTCTGATAAATGCATTTCCCTCTGAACTACAGGAGCCATGCCAGCTTCTTACACTTCCAAGTGCCTTAGGTCTTTAATTTGACAGCTGATTTCCTTTACAGTATCAAGCAAGTGGGAGATAGTGTCACCGCTTCCAACTTGTTCACCAGCAGAGCAAGCAGCACTTCCTTGGGGACGGCTTAGCAGGAGAGGAAAAGCTGATGGAAATCCCTCGCTGGGGTAGTCTCCCTCTGGTTCAGTGGTGACGTGTGCCGATCACGTGCAGTTTGCAGGACTCGGTACACCTAGGTCTTACTTCACCCAGAGCCTCCTGGCCTCTTCACACTGATGGAATTACACATTTCCACCATAAATCAGCAGTGACACAGGGTAACTGAATGAAGCTCAGGAAATGCAATTTAAGTGACTTGTCCAAGTCACATGCCTAAACCTGCTAGTAGAGTTATTTCTACTTCCATACCTCAGTCATGGCTCTGCTGCAGCCAGGCAGCAGCAGCAATGGCCAGAAGGTGCCTGTGCCTTAAGGGCTCAGTGATTTATCCCAACATTCTGCTGACCTTTTTAACTCCGGCTCAGCCCCAAATGACTTCCTGGCTGTCGGGCAACTGCTGTGTCAACGATCAGGCATTAGTTACTGTCTAGAAGGAGCGTCCTGCATGAACTGCACGATACGCCAGGTGACCTGCAAGTACCTTGGATGTTTGTAATGAGAAAGGTCAAGCCTTCGGTGAGCACGAGGAAAAGGTTCACCTCCACTTTTACAGCAGATACAGCGCAGCTCATACAAAGACCTGAGGTAAAAGTGCTGAAGGGGGTGAACCATGGTGTGAATAGCAACAAACTACTTGGTACAGATACAGACCATCATAACTGCCTCTGACACTCTTCATTAGACAGAGAAGTGCTAGTTAAGGTTGAGTATCTGAAGACAATCACTTGTGTAACTGCTTGATGAGCACTAGACCTTCAAGTATTTATGGTGAGCAGGTTTGTAGCATAAAGCTTCCTTCAGGAACAAGCTAAAGAAATTATTAAGATGCAGGTCCAAGTTGCTGGGTCGAACAAAGCCTTTGCTAACACACGGTACTGAAGTGTTAATACTCGAAAAATGCCAAAACAGCGCTTACAGACAAACAGTTACTCAGTTCTTCTGGACCAAGAGGACAAGCCCTGAACAGGTACTGCTGTAGTCTGGTTTCTATGTACAGGTGTTCTTCATTCCTCCGTAAGAGGGTTACAGATTCCACTTGCAAAAAGGTGAGAGACGAGGAGGCTCCTGCAGTGTGGAGGGAAGCCATCAACAAAGTAAGTGTCTCTGCATCCTTTACTATTCCATAGTTATGCTGGTGCACTGGAGAGCCCTTCCCTGTTACACGTTGGGGTACACCACATCACGTCTTCAAACATTTGGATGTGCTCTTCTTGCATGTTTTATTTGAGGCACTAACACTGGAACCAGGAGTTCTCACCGGTGGCTAGACAAGTGTTCCTGTGACACAAGCTGTTAGATTGCCAAACTCTGGGTGGCTCTTCTCACACAGATCCCCTGAGTAGGGTGAGCATTTTCAGACGGAGTCCTGCAGGATGCTTTTACCTGGCACATGCACACTGGGTCCCTCCAAGCCAATTCTACTCAAGTATTTTACTACTGCTTCACTCAGTGGTGTTATCTCCATTCTCCTCCTCAACAGCCAACTCTGACTGAAGCGCCAGTGGTCACAAGCAAGCTCTGTGTAACTTCTGCCTACACTGGAGTAGTAAGGGTGGAGGTAAAACTTTCTACAGGTTAGCTGAATGTTAACTGTTTGTTCAGTGAAGCTTCACTGCTGCTGTGCTGAGCAGCTGCTAAGAGCTTTCAGTCACTGGAGTAATGTCCCTCCCTAGATTAAAGATCATCCGAGTAATAGAAGCAGGAGAAAAACCCCTTCAATCAGTACAAAAACATTTTATTTCTTTAAGCATTCAGCTCAAATACATGTGATCAAATCTCTGATCATAGAAAATAAGAAGGTTCCAAGATCTACTTTAAGCCAAGTTTTAGCCCACAGAGGATTTTCATAGTTAAGAAACCCCTAGAAAACTTTAAGTACTGACACCACTAATGAGTGGTACGTACAGTGCCCTAAAGAGGATTAAAAGAGCGTAATGTTCCATAGAAATGGCCCACTTAACGTGTACATTATGGGAAATAAGTAAAGTTAATGCTGAAATAGTCAGTCACCAGTTCAAGTGTATTACAGGTTTACTTACTGTACGAGCACTGTTAGCACTCTGGTTTCTATGCGCGTTCCTCCTGACTAGCCAAGACCTTTCCACAGCTTGGGTAAAGTGGGTTGCAGTGGTTCTCCAGCTCGGGTCCCTGGACACTTTCCAATCCCTCGATTCCTGTCCCCAGGCTACTGAAACACACAGGGAAACTCGGCAAACACCGTTTACCCTAGGGGTTAGCTGTGTGCTGGCTCCTGGCATCAGTTAACTCTACTCTAACAACGGCCCTGGAAGTGGTGCCGTCAAGCCCACGCTACCGCAGGCGCAGGGAGCATTCTGCAATACCGGCTTGACGTTGAACCTGCGCCTGGGAGGTGCAACACAGACATTAAACGGGTCTGCCCAAGGGCAGAGCGAGGCTGCCTGACTACCTTGCTGAAGGTGAAGCTCAGCACGTGCCATTTCCAGAAACGCTGACGCCCTCAGCCTCCAGTTCCAGCAGCCAGGACAGTCTTTTTCCCCCTGCTCTATAGCATCTCCGGTACAGGATCTTTTGTCAACTGAACTGGCAAAACGCCGATTTCCTGCGGTCTGAGGGGAAAAGTATGGCAGAATGAGCAAGGTAAACCCACAGCTACCACCTTCCCCCTCCTTCCTTGGGTGGATGCAGCCACCCCTGAGGAACCGTTATACAAACGCTAACGCTTAAAAAGGTGAAGTGTGTCACCAGCTACACTGGAATTCACAACTAACTTAGTTAAGAATGCACCTTCTGACAGCTATTGCATTTTTCTCTTTGGCTTTCAAACCTCCATCTAGCTTATCTTCCATCTAGCTTATTCTCAGCAGCCAGCCTCAGCAGTGGACATGCTGTTTTAGGGAAGTGATTCCTCTTCGCAGGGAAGGCGACAGCTCCAGGTTTCTAAACCTGCAACCCAGCCAGTAATGTCTCACCTTGAGGGCTGCCTTGGTTCCAACTACAGCCCTGGTGACTTGAAAGCCAAAGTAACCTGCAAAAAAAAATGTCTCCTCGTAAATGGCAGAGTCATGCATGGATATTACACCACAAATCCATGCAAATATGGCTGCAATCCAGTTTGGCTTTAAAATTAACTCAAAGTTGCATACTTGGGTCGGCCAGGATGCCGATGCATCTGTTGATGAAGCTTCTCATGCCCTTTTTTTTACTGACCTGAAGCCAGAAAGATGAAGGAAACTAACCTGTAGTGCTCGGGGCAGCTCCTCCCTCCCTCCCAGCCAAGGGTGCTCGTGGCTAACAGCACACCTACTGACACGGTTATCGAGGAAGTACATGTCCACGTGCAGTCTCCAGCTTTTATCCTTTATTCCGTACACAGCAAAGAAGGCAACGTTAGACACACGCAGGGTGTGTTACATCCATCCCATCCGCAGCACACGCACGCGCACACACACGCAGCCTTAAAAAACAAAGTGTCTGTGGTAACCTACTATAAAGGTGGTGATCTTTTTATCTCTAACCCCTGAGCTTTTTCTTACAGTTAGGTGAAAAGGCAACGAACAAGTCTCTCCTTGCTCTGTAAGTGCGTTGTGCAACAATGTCCGTAGAGGTCGCAAACGAGTCCTTTCGGGAGGAGCGACGGGACGTCTCACTCCCACGTTCTCAGTCTCCGCTCGCCACGTCTGCGCCAACTCGCTTCCAGTTCCGCCGAGCTGTCGGTCAGCTAACACAGCTCTTGCTGTCCAAGCAGGGATTGGGTCGGCAGGTGACACACGAAACGCAATCCCCGCTTTCTCTCACGAGATGTCATTTCGGTGACACCGAGGTACTAGAGAAGTTACCAGAATTCCGTGGGGACTGCAGAGGCACGGATGGAGAACTGGGGGACAGTTTCCTTGGGCTGCATAGGTCGCCGTTGTGCAACTTCCACAGGAGTTCTTCATTTTCCATGGACAGGCGCTTGTTCACTTTGGACTCCTTCTCTAGCGACTCCTGTAACACGGCTTGCTCCGTAGAAAGTTGCCTGCAAGGTAAGAGGTACACCAGGGTGCGTAACTGGGAGGCTGCAGCCTTCAGCTCATCCACTAAGCAAAGGTTTCCAGCTGCATAAACCCTGCCTGGCTTACAGCTCAACCACTTCCTTGAACGGAGGAATTTGCATGTTCTCACCCTTGACGGATTTAAACTGGTCGCTCGGAGAAAGCGCCACTAAGGAACATTCCTGAAGGCAGCAAAAGCATTTGGAGAGGGAGACTTGTCCTACTTCCAACGACAGATGCTTTCAAATGGCCACGCTGGAGCCTCTGGGCCTTGCTGCAGGCCCAGCACCGCACCGACCCTGTGTTTCTTGCGTTCCCTTCGCGCCGGAAGGGCTCACCCGCCCGCTGCGGCGGTGGCCGGAGGCTGGAGCACCTCGCACCCACTCGTTCAGGGTACGTACGGCTCCCACCGAGCACGCCGCGCTCTCTGCTGAGCTGACCTGGGGACAAAGGACCTAACTGCCGTGGTTGCAGGTAAAACCAGGTTCAGCTCACAAGCCAGGCCTACTTAAAGAGCCAGGCTATAGTACTTCTCAGTTGCTTTTTCTTCCCTGAATTACTGGTTTGGAGCACTGAAGAACACACTGAGCATTTACCCCCTTGTGATCTGTTTCCGCTTGTTCTTCCACACAGGAATGCACATGCACAAGGACACAAGCAGGGAAGAAGGGGTGTGTTCTTCTGCAGTGTACTACAAGACCCCCATCATATTTACACAGAGTTATATTTCTTGCCCCAGGAACACCTTCCCCTGGTTCGTAAGAGCATCTAAGAGCCCACAGCTATTTTTCACCTTGAAAGCTCCATGTGTTTGTCCATCCGAGCTTTTAATTCTTCATTTTCTTGCTGAACCTTCTTTAGCTTATCCATTAAGATCGTGTTGTTCTCCAGCTAAGAAAAACGAAAGGTGACAGTTAAAAATGGAGCCCAGACATGCACTCAGCAGGATACCGACTGACAGATCACAGCCCTTCACAGCCTGGAGCTTGCAGACCTTGTCATGGGACACGCAAAACCTGGAGTAACGCGAGAGCGACCTTCCACCACGGCTTCATATCCTGAACAGCCAAATGGATCCCACGTACCTTATCCTCGCTCATGCCAGCATTCTGCCACTTGTGCCTCTCGGATACCAACAAAGAGGGCTGGGTAAGGGATCTGCTAGTTAATCAGCACGTTCTAGTAACTTCTGCCAGCAACGGGCAGCAGCTGCAGAAGCTGTTGTGGACCAGACTGCCTAAATGCCATGCGAAGGTGACATGCAAGAGCTGCCCTGTGTGAACAGCTCCCCCTGTTGCCACTTCACTGCTGCAGGATGGTATTGGAAGGAAAACCAGTCCTTACATGGTTGGATGGTCCAAGGCCACCTATACTGTGGCCAACCTTTGTCAGAAAAGACATGGTTTTACTAGTGATTTACTAGGAATTGCAGACCAGGCCAACTTAGGACACTGTATGACACAACCACTGATGTGAATGTAACGCCTGTGTACCCAAACCTCTTTCTAAACTTCCACATTAAGATCTTGCTTAAGCCAGATCTTACAACAGTGTTCAAAGGCCCCACCCAGGAGGACCCCATCCTGCCACAGCAATTATACAAGTTCTGCCCCCAGATTTGCCTTTTCATATGGAATTATGCACAGATCTAGAGCAATTCCACACAGCTAAACAGGTGGCTTACAGGTGGCGGCTAAAATGTTTGACTTCAGCTAATCAACTCTAGATAAAAGCACTTATTCCATTTCACATTAGATCCCTTCTTGTTTGATTAGGATTATTCCTCTGCTAATGTTTTCCTGACAGTGCAATCCATAATACTCAAACGAGGCAGGTAAAGAATCTTTGGGGGTTGGGGGAGAAAAGGGAAATTGGAAGACAGTCCCAGATAACCCTCTACCAACTCAGCAGTAGTTTATGCAAACCTGTAGTTGTCTTAAAAGGTTAAAAGGTCGTTGGCAGCATCTTCCCCCTCCTTACATTGCAGCCCGATGTGCATTATTGGAACGGGACTCGGAGCCACGGTCCAAACCTGCCAGACCCCAAGGAACACTCACCAGTTTTTCCATCTTCATGAGCTTTATATCCTGATGATGGAGTTTCTCATTCTTGATCTCCAGCACCGCTTTCAAACTTTCCAGCTCCTGTTCCAGATACATGATCTGCGGGTTTTTCTGAAAGATGTCCACAGAGTTTGCTTAGCACCCTGAATTTCAGGCACAATTTAAGTGTTTCTCTGCTATTTAGAAAGAGCAAAAAAATCAACATGGTACCGACTGCTACTTGTTCTAAGTGAGATCAAGTCCAACAGTTTTGAATTAAACAAAGCAGATCTGCTCCCGCTTCTTCCTGCGGTGCTGCCTGTCCGCGCCCGTAGGGGGGCAGCTGCAGCTTTCCTCAGAAGCCGCTCAGAAACCACTGCCTGCCCACACGCGAAAAACCCGCGAAGCAAAGGCAGGAACCAAAGCTGTCACAGCAAAACGTGTTTGGCAGGAGCGCCCAAAGGCTGCCTTGAAGGCCAGGAGTTCCAAGAGTAATTCCGTATTACTCATAACCCATCCCAAGAGGTAATCAGAGTAAACATTTGAAGAGTTTTCAGATGCTGGAGCACCAGAAATTTAAAGCTACCGACTTGACTGTAGCTGACTGTCCCCGTTTTGAGTCTGAAGGTTCATAAGCAGAAATCAAAGATTTTCATTTTTACGTTCTGCGTCAAGGCTAGCAGTGCAAGCGAACACAAAGTTCCTGTTCCTGTACACCTGTGACTTACCCACTGTACAGAAAGTTAGCACTCTCCTGATTTTCCCTGTTTTTCCAGAAGGTGGAGGGACATGCAGGAGGGGGACAGGGCAGGGTCTGGTCTCCTCAAGGACCTGATTCCTAGCGTAAGGAACCACTAAACACTGCATGGCACAACACATTCTGTGCATTTCCAATGCAGAGTCACAGGCAAAAATAAGAAGCAAAGCAAGCCCGAGTCCTAGTCCGGGTGGAACGCAAACAGAAACCAGTGACTGTTGTGTAACTAAGTTTGTTTCTTTAAAAGCAAACAGAACGTGGCTTAGCCCGTCTGGGTACGAATACTGCCATACCGCGTTGAGGAACAGCTTCGCTGCCGCGTGGAAGCCTCAGAAGTGGCGGGCAGTGCCTGCCGTTCTGTGGGCATAGTCCCACGAGGAGACAGCCAGTACATTCCACAAGGGCCTCATGGCCTTCACGTTCCATTCTCCTGCCTGATTTTAAGGACTGGGGTGATGACACTTGTTGAATTTCTGCTCCTGAACAGAAGGCCGGGTGAGGGCGAGGTGGGCTGTGCTGCCTCAGAGGAGACGGCTGACAATTTGAACTTCATTCCTCTCTTTTCAGGATCACTCTTCCTGCTAACTCCTAGATTCCAAGCAAAGCCACAAAACTTTAAATGCAGCTTACGGGCACTTGGCTATTAGTCCTTTAAATTAAACCGCTTCTGAGCGTGCCTGTGTAACTGAGCTCCAGCTCCCATGGGCAGTGTGCAGCACGTTCTCTCTCTCCACAGCACCCTACTGTGGTTGCAGATTTGTCTTGTGGCAGCTCTGTCCTGCCACTAGAATAAGCAGCAGGAGAAAAAAATAAATTAAATTCCAGTGAAAACTAGGGCAACTTCTACTAGAAGCATCTTGAGTTTTTAAGCATGGAATTTCTCTTTGTTGGATAAGCAATACTGTTGGTATTCCAGTTATTTCCAGGTAAGCAGAAAGATAAGCACAGAACCACAGAATGGTTTGGGGTGGAAGGGACCTGAAAGATCATCTAGTTCCACCCCCCCTGCCATGGGCAGGGACACCTTCCACTAGACCAGGTTGCTCAAAGCCTCATCCAGCCTGGCCTTGAACACTTCCAGGGAGGGGGCATCCACAGCTTCTCTGGGCAACCTGTTCCAGTGCCTCACCACCCTCTCTGGGAAGAATTTCTTCCTGATACCTAATCTAAACCTCCCTGATTTCAATTTGTACCCATTACCCCTTGTCCTATCACTACAGGCCCTTGTAAAAAGTCCTCTCCCAGCACCCTTGTAGGCCCCCTTCAGATACTGGGAAGAACTTCTTCCTGATATCCAAAGTTGGTGTCTAACCCTCCTGGTGCATGAAAAACCTCCCTAAGAGCATGTTTCTAATGCAGGACCATCACAGGTAACTTGGGAAGAAAGGCAGGATAAAAAAGTTGTTTATCCGAAGGACCAGCACACAGCAAGTGTCAGTTACCGTTAAAATAAACGAACTGGAGGCTTGGGTACCAGAAGCGAGTTCCACGGGAGCGACGTGAGCCCACACTGCTGACCGTGCTGTAAGAACTTCTGTCTGTCTAGCACAGGGCTGTGGTACAGCCTTTGCGTGCAGGCAGGTCCTCTACCGTAGGCTGTAATTTACACCATTGTGCGAGTTCACCGGCCTCTCAGATTTGTAACGGTGAGGTTAATGCACGTAACGTCGTAGCGGCTGAGAAAAACGTCCGCTGTTGAGCCATTTACGTACGATGTTAACGGGCACGGGAGCCCCCTCAGGCTCGACTGCAACCCTTCGTATTACACGGCAGAAGTTACTTTTGAAAATAAAGACTTACCAGATTGGCTTTTTCTTTGGCTATTTGTTTTTGCTCTTCTAATTTCAACTTCTCGCTCAGAGAGTCGTTTTCACATCTCAGCTCCATGATTTTTTTCTGAAGTTGAGATAGGGTATAGTTAGGCCAAGAATTCAACACACATCTCCAAACTGCCTCTTCAGGCTTTAGACAGCTGTAATGACCCCAACCCTTGACAAACCTCTAGCAATCCCTGCTTCTCTTTAAAGGAATCTTCAAGCAGCTTCCTTTCAGACTCATGGGCACTCTTGAGCTCTGCAAGAAACAGGTTTTGCAGATTTTGCATACCGTGTTAAGACATGACAATTCTCTCCGAAAAGCAACGGCGTGAAGAGCCCGCCAGCACACACGCAGAGAGGCAGTGACAACATGGAGAGAACTGATTCATCATCTGCTGATCCCAGACGTGTGCAAAGTGTCACATTTACAGCTGCTTGCAACGAATGGGTGAACTGAGCACAGGTGCCACACCTGACAAGAGCCCAGTTTCTGATGGGAAACACAGCAAAAAAAAATCCAATCATCTCTTTCAGCAGCTTCTGGAGAAGTGCCTGTTTCCCCCTCCAGAGATGCCACGCAGAGGAGCCTGCTCGTCACAGTGGAAAGGTCACCAGTTTTAGTGACACCAGAGCGTCACCGGAAGCTTGGCTGTCAGGTGGCATCAGAGGGACGATGGCAGTCACCATCGCTGAAATCAACTTGCTGCAGTGCCACTCAAACCTGAGCACACTCACCGCCCCCTCCCTGAGAAACCACCCTTCCTTTGCCCCAGTGTACCCTGAACAGCCTTGAGTATTGCTCAACGGTCCCCTGTCAGTCTGGAAAGCACACAACCCTACTTATCCTCAGTTTCACTCCGGAGGTGCTCCTTATGGGACTCAGGGGGTGGGGGCAATGACTCATTAACTTGAGATTTTGAGGGCAGGCTGCAATCCAGACATCTTTTACTGGAGGAAAAGGTCATCTCCTCTCCTAAACTCTTCTACAAGTTTCATTCAACAACAACGGGATCACAGCTACTTCTGTAGGCCAAGTGACACTTGTTCAGCCAGGGTTTTTCAAAGCCAGCTGACCGCCAAGACCAATGAAGTCAACTTACGGGCGAAAGAGCTCAAGTATTTTTGTTAGTGACGAAATACAGTATGGACTGGAATACAAAGTACTTGCCTGAAAAAGAGGATTCATGCTCCTTCTTCAGCTCTTCCACTTTTTCTGAGTGGCTGTTTTCAAGTTCCAACTTGTAGTTTTCATGTGTGATAGTCAAGTTGTCCACCTGCAACATGACAACGTGATTTTTTTTTCGCCCTTACACATATCAACATAACCCTTGTTTCAAGTATTGCTCCAATGGCTTTATGCAGTCAGTGGAGTACGTTTTGAAGGGCCCCGGAACAGACGGTCACAGGAGAAGCTACGCCACACACAACATTTAGTAGATGCGAACGATGCCCCACAGTTTGCCACCACACGGACAGATGATGGATGCATCTGTCGCAGGCATGGAGTGCTCGCAAAGGGAGGCCACAGGCCGGGTGTGTTTCCTGGATCTTAAAACTCAAGCTGCCTCCAGCATCCAGTGGAGCTCTAGACGCCAGCCAAGTCTGCAGAACAAAGGAGTCTCCACCATGTTTGAACACAAGCTTCAGATCTGTGCAGCTTAGCATAGTGGCATTTCTGTAGTTGCAGCGAAGTGGAGTTCGGCATTCGATAACATAACTGCATTATCAGCAAGCCCCCAGCTGCTCCGAAGGCTCGTTTGTAGCAGAAAGCAACGACCAGAGAACATGCCCACTTCAAACGTCACAAACCTGCTCCTGGAGCTGCGCTTTGTACTTCTCAGCTTCTTCAATGCAGATGCTTTGGAGTTTCTCACATTCGGCAGTGTAGAACTGCTTCAGCCGCTCCTCCTGCTCAGCCAAGTCGCTCTGATGTTGCTGGTTCAACTTCTGCAAAAACCCTTCATAAGCAGCTTGCAGTTCATTCCTGTCCCTCTCCAGTTTCTCACAGGCCGCAGAGGTGGTAACTGAAGATGACAACAGGACAAAGAAAAAAGCAACTGGATCAAGCTCAGTGCCAATTTCCCCCTCTTCACCGCAAGACAGCGATCACGCTGCACAGCAACCGTTACACAACGACGGATCTAACTTACTGGTGGAGTAAGTGCCACCTCCAAGGACACACACAAGAAAGCTTTGCAGAAATAATTAATTCAGTGTTTCTTATGCTGAGAATTAATCAAATTTAGTTAAGCCAGGAACCCATACAGAAAGCACCAGCATGACAGTTTGTCGTGACAGAGAAGAATGAATGTCTCAAGAGGGACACTGGAGTGCTCCAATGAAAACATTAATTGGATTTGCTACTTCCCCTAATTCGATCCCGTTTCAGTAGCGTATCTGTCAGAGCACTTTTTGATATATAAACCACTTAAGCTAAATTTGAAAGTCTCGATATCCTAAAGACCATCCACTCACGGCGTTACTCAGGCTGAGACACAGAGCAGAGAAGCAATTCCACATGGACCACCGATGCAGAACCGCCAGCCTGAAGCGCACTGCTAACACGCATACGCCCGAGACATTTGAACCGGCAACATACACAACAGTCTGAGGCAGAAAGTGCAGCGTATGAACAGAGATAAATGCTCTTTCCTTTACCACAGGTCAGCTGACTGCCCAGCTTTATCTCCCTGTGTTCACAGCTGACTGAAAGGCAAACCAGGAGTCGGCAACCTGCACTTTTGAGTCTGAAATTTCACCTTCCCAACTCCAGCCATCCGGACCCGAGCAGGAGTCGTCATTTCCTACTGTTAACACGACTGGAGCAACCACCTCCCCCCGCTCCAGCTGCGCCCAAAGCCTGGGAGCAGGTGAGACAGGACCTAACACAAGTGCGTGCTCACTGTCCCCGAGAACACTGCTTCTACACAGACCCTAGTGCTTTGGCTTAAGGTGAGTTAGTCAGGTAAGCGTCTGCTTCAGAGAAAAGTCAACCGCAGCGTTAAGGTTGACTCGAATACGGAGAAGCCTTGCAGACACACGCTTTATCAGAGCTTGGCACACTGCCCAAACAGCGTAAATATAAAAACTGTGTAAAAGCAGGGAAGAGCCAAGGATTTTTGTACAGGCGGTGCAGGAAGTACCCACCACAGCTCTGCCTGAGCCTTGAGATATGTAAGTGACAATACCTTCCCCGAGGGGTTCCAGGCTCGGCTCTAGCGAGACCCGCCTGCCCCGGCACAGTGCCTCAGGTTACCCACGTGTCCCATTCCCTTTTCACTACGGCTTGTCAGGAGCAAGGGGGTAACTCGGTGGGTGATCCCTGCGCTCGCTCAAGGAAACGGTCAAGGCATCTTGGCCCTGCTGCTGTCGCTGGAAACCCGCGGCTGAGCTAGGGAAGCGTGAAAGCGAGCTGTGCCACACGGAAGTCCATCTGCACGCGTGCCTGAGGTTTACCAGCTGCCTTGGCTCCCGCACTAGGTCCATGTGGAAGATCTGCTGAGGAGGACAGAGTTAAGCCAGGCTGTTCATCCCATGACTGGCAACGCGACAATTAAGGGCTCAACTGGAACGTACCACAACGTTCTCGGCAGTCCGAACCGATTTCACAGTTTTCTATACCACTACCAAGAAAGATTTTTATTTCCCTAGCTTTATTCCTTCCACAAACATCCATTATAACTGCTCCCTTTGGAAAAAAATATGGAAAAACTAGCATTCACGCTTCCATCACATCACACTGGCGTTAACGTCACCGCATATTTATCCCCGTACTGTCACGTTTTTGGGGGAAGAAGCATCATCACAGGTAGGGGACCCTATTTTATTACAGAAAGAAGCAGGCAGTGAGCCAAACGGAGACATTACACAGCCAACCGTGCAGAACGGACCTGACCCTACAGCAGAGTAAGAGGGGTATAGTGCTGAGGCCGGCAACTCGCACGCCTCATTTGAAATAACTCTAGCAACATGCTTCCAATGATCCACTTCCTTGAAAAGCAAGAGAGGAAGAAGCCAGCACCCCATTCTTTACTTGTAAGGCCAGAGCCATTTGTTGGCCTCTGTTTAGCTGAAAGAACATGCTGCCTATCATTGCCTTATCTTGAAGTGTCAGCATGCAGAGCTTCAGATGATGCAAAACACCTCAGAAAAAAGGCAAAGAGCAAACCACACCTTCGTCACAGAAAACAGACACCCCAGTTCTCGCTTGGCCAGCCTGCAGTTCGGATTTATGAGAAGGCTAATGTTACAAAGGCAAACAAAGACTTTTAAAACTCGCCTTGGCAGCTGAAGGCTGCGTTACCTTGAAGGTAACATCTGGCTTCTGCAGAGCTGGAGGCTGCAATGCTTCCCTGCACATCACCAGCCTGACCTGAATCCTTGCCATCCAGAGAAGGAGCAGAACGGCCACACCACCAGCCAGCTCCCAGCATCCTGGTAGGGCAAGGGACTGCATGTGTCAAGCTTCAGCAAAAGCGTCAACTGACGACCTGCCAGTTTGAAACTATGGGAAGTCCTGTAAATGAAGATTTGTCCCCACACTCGAGATTCCAGTGTCTGCAGCAAGTATTTCGCAGAGCCCTGTCCATCTCCAGGCTGAATCATGTATTTTATGACTGTACACTGCCTTGTTTTAAGAAAGGGACAACTCGCCATGGAAAAAAAGCAACAAATTCCTCAGTTTGGCCACTCATGTACTGCAAAGGGTTGCTGAAAAACTCCTGACTACCCAAATTTGATGGTTACTCGAGTTTTCTCATTGAACTGGCGCTTAATTTTGAAGAAAAAGTTTGGAACTGGAACCTGTGTTCTTCCAGTAGCACACACCAAGTCTCTATTTTGACTTCTCATCCACTGCACAGACACCTGAAGGGCACGATTCCGAGCTTTTGTACGCGGCTACCGGGCTTCCCTTTCCCTTCCTAAAGCGCTTCCCTCCGCCACTCTACATCTGCATTACGCCGCACGTTGTAACAGACCACAGACCTTCAGCAAGAAAAAAACGGGAGACAAATGGCCCGACAGCAGCTGGGAGAAAAATCAAGCCATACCAATGAAAACACGCACCGTCCCTTAACTGATCAATCTCATCACCAGTTTTAAGCTTTAAGGCTAGAGCATACAGAATGGGTACTTGGCAGCCAGAATAAAGATTTACGACTTTATTCAGATAGCGGAACCATTAATATTTTCCCCCACATGGTTGTCCCAGCCTCTTCCCCCCCATCATACAACACTGTCTCTCCCTGTAGGTTGTGCTTTAACCCCAGTAGTCAGCAACCAAGCAGCACAGAGCCGCTCGCTCCCCTCCCCTCTCCCCCAGCATGACATCTTAAGGCATGAAACGTCCCTTTGGTTGGTCTGAGTCAGCTGTCCTGGCTGTGTCCCCTGCCAGCCTCTCATAGAGAGGAAGGTGGGAGAACGGCTAGTATGAGAAACAGAAACAGTCCTGGGCTTAGTGTAAACATTGCTTGGCAACAACTAAAACCAGGGTGTTATCAACATTCTGCTCAGCACAAACCCAAAACATGGCCCCAGACTACCTACTGTGAAGAGAATTAACTCTATCCCAGCCCAAACCAGCACACTATTATTACAACAGGGAGCAAGATTAATCTGTGTGTTTAGGGTTCTTAGCAACTGCTCATTATAAATAAAGAGCCTGGTTCTTTTGGGAAAAACCATGACCTCTGGAAATCACACAGAGTTTGAGACTGGGTAGCAGCATAACTTCACGTCAGAAATGCTGGTTTTGACATGTAAAACAGACGTTCATCTGTAACAGTTAACGACAGCCACTTGCATCATGGCTATTTCACTGCAAAGCTTTACCTGTGCCAGAACCATAAAATAAATGCCTGCAAAAGCAGCGTGGAGACGCAGGCACGTGGCAACTCCCTGCAGTACGCCCAATGGCAGCAGATCCAAACCACATGAGCAGTAGAACCAGCTGGAGAGAACTACAAAAGTTGCCTTAGTATCCCCATGAAACCTATTTCCGTAGAAGTAGCCAAGAGATAAGACTTCACAATTGTGCAGTACCTCTTTCTTTCAAAATCTAGCTTTTTCTCAAGCTAATTGTAAAACAATTCATCATCCAATTCAGCCCTTATGGCTAAACTGCTTACGTAAGAACGGTTTTCCACACACGTTCCCCTAGAAGTCACTATACCAGAGCACTAGGAAGAGAAAACATAATGGATTGATTTTTTTTTTCAATCCTGAATTAAAATTGTTTAGAAACAGACAGTTTTACAAAGATAATTTTTAAGTCACTCGCTGGTCTGGTTATGATTTATGAAAAGCCATTAGACTGATGTTTTGCAACAGAGGTCACTCAGACAGTAGAGTAGCAGCATTTTAGTAGATGGGGGGCATGTGAAGAAGGGATAATTATGAGAAAACATCAAGTATTTCACATGGTGGTGTGTCACGGTGCGTAACACTACTGCTCTAACTTTGTATTTCACATCTGTACGTTCCACTGCTCAGTCAGTAGAGACAAAGGGTCATTTCCTTCTTCATACAACTGTTATCTAATAATCAATTCATGGTTTTGGCAGATACCCAATATTGGAAATTCTTCTACCCAAACATACTTTCAAGTTTATGACCAAGTTTCTCTCAGTGTAACCTCTAACACGAGACTAACGGCCCAGGACATTAAGCCACGTTTCATGCTTTTTGTTCTTGGGCAAGCTGACCCAAGGCAGGCGCACCGAACAAGCGTGCTGTAAGCTACACTGAACGGGGCAGGGATGAATCCGTATGGGAAGGAAGTTCCCACCTTTTAGTGCTGCAGACACTCCAGGATCAGCAGGCAGGCAAGCATACGAGTCGTGGCAAGTTAGGCCCTGCCCCAAATAACTGGTAGAAATCTCCACCTACTATCGAGTACTGTTAAGGATCACCAAAACCTGAAAACCAAAGGACACTCACCCCATCTGTCTGTAAAACACAACAGCCTTTACCTTAACCTCCCAAACATTTAAAGGTCATTTACTAATCTAAAATAGCACGAAGGTAGTTGGAAGAAAAGGCAGTTTATCCACTGCAGTGCAGCACGTGGAACAGGGAGAGAGGGATCAGGCGTTTCCTGGCTGCAGAGGACACCCGCGAGCCTCTCCCACCCACCGGCAAAGGCTCATGAACGGCAGTTCCCGAAGGGCAGAGGCGGCACGGGCCTGCACCTGCCGTCCTGTAGCAGGACTGAGCTGGATCGCGTCCACCACGGCTGCCAAGAGGCTCCGAAACAATTTGGAACGCAGTTAATTTAGAGGAGTAGTTTCGTGCCTCTCAGGAGATGCTCAGCTCTTGCAATATCTACTTAAGTAATTAAACAGGTAACTAGAAGTAATTTACACACACCAGCTTGCAGCTTATTAAGAAGGGAAACAGGTGATGAAGAGGAAATCCGTGCCTGGTCCAGGCTCCCAAAACCAAGGCGTTCACATTCAAACCACAGAAATCTAGTCTTTGTTCTGGGGATTTTAAGGAAACCAACCCGACTGTTAATGAACTTGAGCTCCTCTGGAAAAGCCCACCCCCAAGCACATTATCATTGCTAATCCTGGCACTCTTTCATCCAGCCGCCCGGAGCAGAAAGCCGTGTCTGGTAACCGTCCTCCCCACGTCCTGCGCAGCCCAGGCTGCCGAAGACAGGTTCTGGGATTGTAACGCCTGCTTAAACCACTGAACAAAAAGGTATTTTTGGTAGGTAAGGGTCACAGAATAACCCAGCAAAAGGCACACTGTGACTGCCAACCCACTGGGTTTGCAAGGTAAATCAAGTCGCTTGGGAGCGCACCGTGTCTGGTAACCGTCCTCCCCACGTCCTGCGCAGCCCAGGCTGCCGAAGACAGGTTCTGGGATTGTAACGCCTGCTTAAACCACTGAACAAAAAGGTATTTTTGGTAGGTAAGGGTCACAGAATAACCCAGCAAAAGGCACACTGTGACTGCCAACCCACTGGGTTTGCAAGGTAAATCAAGTCGCTTGGGAGCGCACACAAACTTCAAAGCTGGAAACTGAGGAGTCCAACAAACCAACATGCACAAACAACACAGCAGCTGGGACTCCCCAAAAGATGTCCCCACGGCCACAGGAAGATTCACATGTAACTTTCTGAGCCAATCTGTGCCTAGCTCATACCGTGCATCAGGTGTCGCGGTGCTTTCGTCCAAACAGCCTGTGGGAATCCTACCTTCAGCTACATCCATTTAACAGTGGCAACAGAAAGCTGATTAGCAGGTGGGTATTTAAATGGATTATTTTCAGCTAAATCTACTGTTACCAGATTGCTTTTTCTCACACCTCATCAACAAATGAGGTCTGGCAGGCCTAATCTATTTATTCAACTTTAAAAATAATAAATTTAATAGCTAGATAGACTTGAAGACCTGTATTGTTTTCCATTTCTGTGATTAATCCAGCAAAGCTCCATCAAGCCCAGCTGTACCTGGAGTTCTTTCCGGCTATCAACCTACGGAACGGCGTATTCTTGCAGTGGGAGTCCCCCACATGAGCTCGGCAGGCTGTTAATCACAGCGGGAACACAGCAAGTTCACGGGAAGCTCATTTAAGAGTGAGGCACCCTTACAAAGGTCTAAGCTGTCAAAATCAAAAAACCAAACCACTCCCACTACCCTAAGAAGCGGTAATAGGCAAATTGCCGTCTAGCTTCGGTCTGCCCATCTGAGCTGAACTTCCCCCTTCCTGACAAGGGACGAGCACAGCACCTAGGTTGACAAAGGGAAAAATAAACGCTGAAGACACTACAGATTCCTCAGTGTCTTTGGTGCTCTCGTCTGTCTATTGAGGCTGGAAGGCTTTTTCTCCCCATTCACATTGGCAATTTTATGCAGCGTCAAATGCAGCTCCCAGAAAGCTTCATTTTAACATAACCCTCTAAACTGGACAGCAGTCATAGTGACAGCTGGGGAAGCTGTGCTCTGGGGGGGGGCAGGGGAGACCCCTCCCCACCACGCTTCCAATGGAGCAGTTACCAGGGGATGCCCGCTTTATTATAGAGAGCTGAAAAATAAATCTGAACGCTAAGTGCCCTGCCTGCGTGTAGCAAGACCTACATTCTCACTCAGGTTTGGCTGAGACAAAACTCAACCTCTAAAGCGTGTGAGAACAAGCATTTCCAACTTTTCAGTAGTCAGTGATGTATCCTGAAACTGCTCCACACACATTACTTCTGCTTTCAAAGCTTTTTTTTTTCCTTCTTCTAGAGGGGCTTCATCGTAACTGAAGTGCACTTCTACAAAATGCTAACTCTCGCTTTCAAGTGCACTCCACAAGATGATTCTGCTTTCAGTTCAAATAAATTATGTGATGTGACCATTGAATGCCGTTAAACCAAGCTTCAAAGTTGGCAAAACCAGCCCCTGCACATTATAGCTCAGTCACATTATAGCTGTCCACTAGGATGAGTTCAAAGGTTTAATCTCATTAGCCTGATAGCATTTCCTCCCGTTAATTTCACACTCATTCACCTACAAGCTGCGAAGGCAAAACGCAGATTTTGCAGTGTATTTTCCAGGTATATGGATTTTTTTTTTCCCAGGAAGTCTCTAGAAGACAGCAGACAACTAAGGTAGGGATCAAACAGAAGCATATATACTGTCAGGCACCCTCCCATTTTTAAGGAAGCGAGTGCTCTGGTCATCACACACATGTTTTTGCGAGGAGGCCCTGCTAGGTGCAGTCAGATCAGTGCCAGGAATTCAGTGAACCTGGGGTCACGCTGTCAGTGCTCCAGAGAAATGCAGTGATTGAAGCATCCGAGCAGAATTCAGCCAGGGAATTAAATGACTGCCATTACAATACCAGGGCATCTGTCTCCCCGCAGATCTGTTCTGCTGCGTTACAGTGCTCATGAAGAATACAAAAACGAATTCTTACCTAGCTCTCCTCGAAGGTTGAGCAGTTCTTGAGATAACTGTTTACGCTGCTTCAGCGCTTCCTCCCTCTGCAGAGAAAAGAAAACCACAAACCCAAGCGTTCGGTTACAAGAGGTCTGAGCAGGGCACCCTCCGATAATCGACTTACATGTGTTCGGCAGGAAAAGAAGAGGCACGAGCAAGAAGCCAAGATATGAATCATTTAGGATAACAGTTCTGCTGTTACAAAATACACAGATGTTCTTCTGTTGTTAAGGAAGTTATGCTTTAAAACAAAGAATAGCTGTTTTTCCAGGATAACGCTGCAATCAAAATCCTACTCTGCGGCAGTTAATTGTGTGTTTTACGATGGGTGTAGCACCCCAAGCCTGCAGAGCAAACGGACCCGCAGCTGTCAAGGACACAAAGGTCTGGGACACGACAGGCGCGTGCATTAAGTGTTTATCGTCAGCTTCCTCCAGCCCCAGCCCCAAACTTTGCCGCGCGCCCCGTGCTGCGCGCGGGGACAGTTGGACA